GTTTTTAATTAAAGAGAAGGACATATTTGAGCTATCTTATGAAATATACTCCTCTCATGGCCTTCTTAACGGCGACTTTCCTCTTCGACGATTTTTCATTTTCTCCTGGAAGACCTATTGCGTGCCTTCTTAAAGAAACTAATAGGTCTTCGTCTCATTGAAGAGTATTGGGTGTTTTTCCCGTAGAAAATCTCGATAATCTCCCGTAAAGGACGAATGGGTGTTCTTAGGTCTTCAGATTTTTTTTATTATTATTATTTTTTTATTAATATCCATACGTATGATTTTCACATAGAACATCCAGAGAACACTCGTATTATTCGCATAGAGGACAATTAAGAATTCTCACAGATGAAAAAAACTTCTCACAAAAGAAACTTTCTTTGGCATAATAAAATCCTAAAAATTGACATTGTGTCCTCTTAGCTCATCGATGGTTATGGCTCTCTGGTCCCACCCCCATTGTTGCCTCTTAATAATTGTGTGATTTCCAATTCTCAAATAAATCCAGTAACAAAGTTACAAAAACAAGAGATTTGATTCGATTAGCTTACCTCTACCCCCTCTCCTTTTCTTCACTCGTTCGCTATGGAGTCTTTGAAACAAATAACTGAGCTACCCCAAGACAAGCAAGTGGAAGTATTGAATAAATCTTTGAATGAACTTAAAAATGGTCTTCATTCAATCTCAGCACCATTGGCCCCCCCGGACAAGGGTTAACATTTGCCTACGCCTAGTATGAAATATATCAACCCCCAAAACTCGTTGTCCTTTATGTTGCTATGCTAAGTGTTTGCTTATAAATATTATTTAAATATTTATGCTTAATTTAATATTCACCAACACTTTTCTTCCTTAAAGGGCACCCCTTCTCCTGCCTCACTTATATAAATTGTGCCACAATTTGGTTCACAGAATGGTGGTAGACAATATCTGTCCACCCCTCAGCATTTAACCTTTTTTTGTGAAGGAAGTAGTCTACTCGCCTTTTTATTATTTTTTGGATTTCAATTGAGTTTCACTCCATTTCATTCTCTCTCTCGGACTTTGTGTTGATTGTGGTTTGGGGTCGACATACTACCATCCAAAAACTTGAGTACATTACACAAAACACAAAAAGTTGAACATTTGATGTTGTTGTAAATGATATGGACTCCGGTCGGGTACCTTGCTCCTGCTCTACAGTTCTCTTCATCTGCATACATTTAGTGATATGCTCGTAATGATAATATTTGATATTTAAATTTTCTATTTGCATATGGTTATTTGTATTCATTCTTATTGCCCTCTGTCTCTCGTCTCTCGTCCTCCTCCCCCCAACCCAATTCCCCTTTCCTACCGCACTGTGAAAGTGCCGTAGTACCAATCCTAAATGGGGGTTTTGTGGTTAAAAAATATGGCAAAGGATTTAAATGTTTTGCCGTATGTTTTCTTCTGTAAGGATGTTGGGTTATGTGGCTGTTGTTTGTAAATTGGCCATATACTTGTGTTCACGTATGTGTGTGTGTTTATCTCTCGGTTTATTTAGCCATAAGAAAAGTGGAGTAAAATGAAATGGAAACCGGATTACAATTAGTTTTTAGAATAATTACGAAAATAGTTTTGAGGATAGTATTGGATTTTCTGGTCGGCCACAGATATTCATTCTAGAGAGGGGGAGCGGCTAACAATACCAACAAGAACTTTAAGTAAATATTATAAACAAGTTAAAATGTTATCGTTATTACTAGTTTTATTTTGCGGCTTATTGGGGAAGGGAAAGAACTTCCGAAATAAATATAACTTTTAATGTTTCCATGGAAAACAGAGGCCAATCATTGTATATATAGGATAAATTTAAATGGTTCATTGCAAGCAGCGTTGGAATAAGTGGGGGGAGTATAAATCACAGTTTGCGTATTTTCTACTTGATTATTTATTGATTCATTTCCCAAGAAATTAGTCATGTAAATTATTGAGGGTTTTAGAAAAACTATTTGAAACTAAAAGCTTTCAATTATTACAAATCGGGAAATTGCTTCGAAATGACCCCCCTTTATGTGTCGCATTATTTAAAACACAGTCAAAAAAATCTGGGTGCCGTATCATAAACCACGGACATAATCCCCATTACAATTGTGGGAATTATGACCGTTATTACAAATATCGGTCATAATCCGCGGATCCATAATAATGGCGATCATGTCCAAAATTATTGCGGGCATAACCCCAATTATGGGGTAGGTATATGATTACGGCAAAGTAGTTTTTAGAGGCGGAAATATCCGGTTACCTGGTTATTCGACACGAAATTTCGGATACAAAATCCGAGTTTTATCCGGTTCTACTAACTTATTTGGAAGCTTAACGAAAAAAATCGAAAATTGACCCATTTTAAAAAATACAGGGTGAGATAAAAAAAACTGCAAAAAAGTCAAACGCCATAATTTTGAAATTGTTTTTTTTTTTATTTTATTGAATGAAAGCTTAAAATAACGAAATAGCATTAAATTTTAGAATAAGTTTAGATTTGTTCGAATTGGTCACCTTTGGCACGAATTATGGCCTTCAAACGGCCAATAAAACCGTCACACACTGCCCGAATTTTGCTCTGCGGTATTTTGGCCCATTCCCGGCGAAGCGCTTGCTTGAGGTGATCGACACTTTGGTATTTTTTAGTGCTAACCTTGCTTTCCAAAATACTCCAGGCACAATAGTCCAACGGATTGGTATACGGAGATTTTGTGTCATTGTGCACTAGAAATGAAGCGAGGAACCCCATTTTTTAATTTTTCTTGGGTGGCGCGTGCTCAGGGCAATGGTGATGAGTCCTGTTGGAATATCCAAGGCCTGCGGCCAAAATGTTTGTGTGCCCAATGCTTTAATACACCCTCCAGAATATTTTCGTGATAATATTCGACATTTACTCCAATACCACGGTGGATTAATACGAGAGCGACCATCGGCTGTTATGGCGGCCCACACCATCACCATGACCGGCACTTGAGTTCTGGTGGCCAACCGAATGTGCACATTTTCAGCTGACCTCTCTGGCAAGTAAGCACGATCATTTTGTTTGTTTACAAACTGCTGGACAACGAATGTTTTTCATCAGAGAAATCCAAATTCTGCCAAGCGAAGCAACTCTTTAGCTCTTTTGAGTATATTTTCTTTCTGTTGCGGTGTAAGTTCATGCACTTTTTTGAATTTCAATGGCTTTACCCCGAGCTCATTTTTCAATATTTGCCGAATGGAATATTGCGATATGTTAAGCCCGCGAGCTATTTTTCGGCCACTGCGACGCGAGTTTCTTTCAAGTCGCTTCTTTGCTTTTCGAACCATTTCTGCTGATGTTGCTGCTTACTTCCGTCCACTTCCATTGACGTTGGGCTATGCTACCAGTATCACGGCAACGAGCGATGGTACGAGACACAAATGATTTATTCACATTTAAATGCTGCAGTGCTCTAACGATAGCCACTTGTGGGTTTCCAGCCAAATATAAAGAAATCACACTATCACGGTTGAACTCCATCACGAATAACTTCATTTCTGGAAAATTCTTACCAAAATGGTTTTGTACGCTGGTAAAAAATATAATGGGCTGTCACTGGAATAATTTTAACCACTATCGAACGAGTGGCTTAGAAATGACAGCAGTCTGAAATTGGTTGCAGGTTTGACATCTCACCCTGTGTATATATCCTCAGCTAATGTCTGATAATAAATTATATTTTGACTTGATATTTCTAAAGTTTTACCCTTTATCGGGGCGGTACTGTAGGTGTGGGCTTGTATTTTTCATTTCGCATACGACATAAGCCTGAGAGCTTTTCTGGAGAAGTTAGGAGAAGGAGTGGCCCGATTTATTAAAACCGCTAATAATTATACTGATAGAAATTTTGGCATGTGCTATAATTACTTATTTTGCCAGTGTTGTGAGATCAGGATAGGGGGAGTGGGATGAAAGGATCCATATTCACATCAAAACTCGAATATTGTCAAACATGGAGATATACTTAGTTGAAAGAGAATTTCTAACTGTTTTCAATTTCAAGTATCCAAAATATCGACCCTTTCTGGCACCTCCAGATGGAGTGGGTCGATATCTACCATTTTCACGAAGACAAACAGATTCTCATTTCACATATAAAAAGAGTTACGATTACTCAAAATGTTGACCCTTTATGGGGGAGGTACTTGATGAAGTATACCGATATTGTTAATTTTCGCACCGGACATATAGCACTGACAAAGATATTGGGATTTTGGGAACATTTACACAAAATGGAATGATCCTTTCCTTTTTCGTCAAAAGAGACCTATGGTCTATAGTGAGACAAGATTTGAACGTATCAAATTATATATACCCTCTGTAGCCATATGGCTTAGGGTATAATAAGTATTTTAGAAACTGCAATCCATCAAATGGCGGAAAAACGCTTTTTCCTTTTGTATGGAAGCGAAGAACATTGAGGAGATATTTAATTTTTATTAGAATAGCCTTAGGACCGCCAAATATACTTCACAATATACTGGGTCGGATAGAATTATTTTACATCCAAATGGTTGCAACCATATGGAGGCTTCCTCATTAAGGGATTGTTTAATCTTCATTATGTTGCTGTCATTCTCCTGTAGTAAATTCGATCTAAAGGTCTCTCTAATTACGGAAAATAGTTAAAACATTTGGTCTAGAGGAGAAGATCTAAAGGATTTGTTCTTTACTTGGGGAGGGGAGAATTGTACATCCAAAAATTAGCAATTAGATGGTGCTAAGATTCAAGGTTATAGTTATTCCAATTGATTTTGGAATCGAAAAATGTATCCTGCTTGGAGTCTTTCTCATAAACTGGGTTGTCCATTTCTGGTATCTCCGACGCTTTTTGTGGTTTAATTGGAGACAATTTTTTTTGTCGTGACATTTTTATTAATGTAGGGGAGTAGTTAACTTCGCAAATTTTAAAACGCATTTACGTCCTCTGTCTTAAACAAAAAACTAAAAATAGTTTCCAACTTACCTTTAACCAATTATGTGTCAGCTTCAGCGATCTCACCGACTGGGCTAATGCTGCTGGTATCTGACACAAACCCGTACCACTTGCATCCAATTCCTTTAGGCTCCATGATGCAACAAATTCCTGCATATATGGACCCAATTCCGGATTATAGGCAATATTTAGTGCAACCAATCCCGTAATACCCTGTAGAGCACGTATAGACTTTCCTTTCAGGGCATTATAGGATAAATCCAAATACTGTAGATTGGGTAGAGCCAAAAATGTCTCATAATCAATATCCGTAATGTTGTTGTGCCCCAACAGCAGCGTGTTCAAACTCAAGAGATTGTAGAATGTTTCCCGATAAATGGCGCCCAATTGATTGTGTGCCATATTCAGGTGTTTCAAATTATGCATGCGTTCCGGAAAGAAGGAAGTTTCGAGATTTTTCAAGCTATTGCAGGATATATCCAAAGTTTCTAGATTTTTCAACAACGATAGGTTGAGTGGTAAAATGTTTTCGAGACCATTATTGGATAGATATAACTGGCGTAGATATATGTTGGACTCCAGCGAAGATGGAGAAATGATGTTGTTTCTGTTGAGATTTAGCGTTTTCAATTGAGATTTGCCTGTGATAGGTATTGCGGTAAAGGAGTTGTTCGAAAGTTTCAGTGACTGCAGGTGATTGCTAAATGTCAGATTGAGAGAGCATAAATGATTATCGCTCAAATCGAGAGAACTTGCTGGGGCCAGTTCCTTGGCTAATTGATCTGTTATCACAAATTTCTGTAGATTTCTTTTGCTGTAGTTAAGGGCAATATTTTCCTGCTGTTGGGTTTCTTTGTCGGTTGTAGATCGCTTATTTAGCTGATGGCCAACATCCTCATAGGCTGGTGGTGAGCGTTTTTGGTAGTAACGCAACTCCGTTTCCTCTCGGCGATAGCTGGGCTCATTTTCATCTCGCAAAATGCGATGTATGGTCTCATATGAAAGCCGCTTCAGTTCGCTGCGATATAAATTGAAATGTTCACCGCTGTTGTCGGCATGATGGGCACTGGCTGCCTCCGCCTCCGCCGCCGCTGCTGCCGCAGCCGCTTCATGCCTCGATGTTTTCTCATGCAGCAAATCTTCGTCGTTGATAAGCAGACGTATCTGGGGATTTGGTAATTTGGCACATTTGATGTCTGATGGCAATACGGTGGCAATAATAAAATAACATAAAATTATTATTCTAACATCACAGCTAAGTTCAAGGACATTGTTGAAGACTGTCAATCTTTTTCTAAAAATTTGGCATTTAAATGACATGTTTGCTAGGGGTGCTTTTGGGTAGTACGTCTTGGATGGTGGTCGTCTATCACACTCGCAGTTTGTGAGCTGTTGTTTTCCTGCCTGCCTGGCTGGTTGGTGGTTGGTGGCAATAAACCAAGAGGTGTTTCTTTTTTCTTGTTTTTGTTTTTTGGAAGCTCGTCGTCTTTGGCTTTGGTGCAAAAATAATTTGACGTATTATTTCTTCTTCTTCTGCCTCTTTTTCTTCTCCGTGTGCTTCTTACTTTAAATTGAACATTTTATTTATAAGCTTGACATAAATTCTCGTCTTTGGCTGCTGGTTCCTTTGGGTTATCTTTGTAGGTTATCAGGTGAGGCAAAAAAAGCTTTTTGCTGTTGTTGGTTGTCCGCCCAGCCGCCGTTTTTTGGCGTTGTGTTGATGTACTGCGACTAGAATTTCTAATTTTGCAGGAATATTCACTTGACGTGATGTTCATTAGTAAAAATTCCAGTATGGGCTTAATGCTGCCAGCTGTGCCACGGATCCTGGCAGACTGCTCGTTGACTGATTGACATTAACGCGTCTGCAGGTAATTGCCAAAAAACGAAAGAAAACAGCAGCAACAAGAACAACTACAACTGGTATGGCCTTAAAATGTAAGTCACGTTTCTCAAGTAATGTGACATTCAAAGTATGCAGCGTCGTGGCAAGGGAAAGAAAAGTAGGAAAAAAATAAAACACCACCGAACATCCACCTCCTTGTCTCCGTGGGCTTTATTAAGCGTTGATCCCAGGCAAAAATTAAGAGAAAAAATTATTCTGCTTTAAATACTTGCACGTTTTTCTTGGGGGGGTTGGCAGGGTAGTTTTTTTTTTTCTACAAGAAATTTCAATTAATTCACAAATACGGAATAAGAATGAAAAAAATCGCTGCTGCTGCTGTTGGTTCCTGGGCGATGATGTTGATGACAAATATCCTTGAGATTTATAAACTCTGAAACTCAAGAAGCTCATTAACATTTGTTAATTTAAAATTATCATCAATTTTGCTTGTTTTCCTTCGAGTTTTATCACATCCTCCCCACTGGCGGCAGGGGTTGTCTTTTACTCTTCCCTCCGTTTTTCTCTCCGCCCACACAAGCAATAATTTATTATTATTATCCCCTTGTATTTTTGGCTTTTAATTTAGCCAACGTTTGTCGTCCTGAAATACTATCACGTTTTTCATTTAGTTGTTGTTAAATGTTTTGCGAATTCTTTTCAAGTTCCTGCTTGATTTTCCTATTTCCTTTTGAGATTTTCTTTATTATTTTCGTTATATTTTAAGCGCATTTATTGATGTTTGTTTTTTTTTTTTTTGTTTTGGACAAACTTTTATTAGCTTTTCATTGTTAGCGCCATCAGTTGTGACATGGTTTTGTTGGCCTCAATGATTTTTTTTATTCTTTGTGTATTATCCTGATGGTGGTTGGTGTTGTTGTTGGTATTGTCGTCAGCATTGTTGCTGTAATGAAAATGAGAATAAAATCATCATCATTATTATAATTTGGATACAAATTTAGCGAAAATAATTTAGTTTTAAATACTTTAGGGGTGAGGGGAATTAGATAAATACTTTACAATTTAAAATTCATAAATAGGAATTAGTAAATTAAAAAAATAATAATAAATAAATAAATGAAAATAAATAAAATTTATAAAAAAAATAGAAAATCACAAAATAAAATAATATATAAAGTTCAAAAATCAACGGAATATATTAAATACATAAATATAAACAAATTAACATAAAAAGAAAAAAATGTAAAATAAAACAAGTAAAAAGAATAACGAAATATATAATTAAATGAAAATAAAAATATTAAAATAATAAAAAAAAAAACAAAAATAAAAAACAAACAAAAATAAATTATCAACCAAATGAATAAATATAAACAGTGACAACAACAAAAAAATTTAAAATTCATAAATAGGAATTAGTAAATTAAAAAAAATAATAATAATAAATAAATAAATAAAATTAATTAAAAAAAAATAGAAAATCACAAAATAAAATAATATATAAAGTTCAAAAATTAACGGAATATATTAAATACATAAATATGAACAAATTAACATAAAAAGAAAAAAATTTAAGATAAAACAATTAAAAAGAGTTGTAAGTTCGAATTTGGCAGTTTTCAAAAATATAAAAATAAATAAATTAAAATCCGTTAAAATCTTAAAAATACCGAATGTAGCCGTTATATTGGGGTCCATACGACAACGTGGACCTGCATGGGCAACTTTTGTCATAAGCCATTGCAATATTCAAATGAGAAACCTGAAAAAAAAAATCGGTAAATAATGTAGCTAAAATCATCAAAATACCGAATATAGGGTACCATTGTATGGGGGCTATAGCAAAATGTGGACCTGCACAGATAATTTTCTGTCATAGGCTGTAATATATATTACGAACTTCAAATAGCAAATTTGAAACAATTCCGGTGAATAATATCGCTTAAATCACCAAAATACCGAATATCGGGAGGTACCGTTATATGGGGGCTATACGAAGGCGTGGACCTGCCTTGGACAATTTTCTGTCATAGGCTGTAGTATCCATTACGGACTTCAAATACCAAATTTGAAACATTTCTGGTGAATAATATCGCTTAAATCACCAAAATACCGAATATCGGGAGGTGCCGTTATATGAGGGCTATACGATGGCGATAATATAGCTAAAATCATCAAAATATCGAATATCGAGAGGTGTCGCTATATGGGCTGTAGTATATATAGGCTGTAGTATTCATTACGAACTTCAAATACCAAATTTATAACAATTCCCGTGAATAATATCGCTTAAATCACAAAAATACCGAATATCGGGAGGTACCGTTATATGGGGGCTATACGAAGGCGTGGGCCTGCCTTGGACAATTTTCTGTCATAGGCTGTAGTATCCATTACGGACTTCAAATACCAAATTTGAAACATTTCTGGTGAATAATGTCACTAAAATCAAAATATCTGGAGGTACCGTTATACGGGAGCTATACCAAGATGTGGACCTACATGGCCCATTTTTAATACCAAAAGTCCTGCGGACATAATATACATTTGAGTAAAATTTTATCAACCTACTTTATTTCGATTGGAAGCTATAGTGATTTCCACAGACAGACAGACAGACGAATCAACATAGAATTTTATGCTGATCAAGAGCATATATTTGTGGGGTTTAAAATGTATATTTCGAGGTGTTACAAACGGAATGACAAACTTAATATACCCTCCATACTATGATGGAGGATATAATAAAATAAATATATAAGAATATATAAAATATTAGTGAAATAACTGACTGAAAATCAACGCTCTGGAAAAAAAGGCTGACGCTAGAATCTTGAAATTGTGCACAAGGGTCAGTCTTGGTGCGTAGGCGTACTAAAACGAAGCGAAAAGTACTTAAGTGTACTTAACATTGAATACTTTGCATTGGACAAACGGAATGAACTAGAACTCTGAAATTTGGAATGAGAGTCGCTGCAGGATAATAGATGTACCGAAGGGTTTATGGATATTCGTCTAAAATGCTACCATTTGGTATTATGTGAATGGATAGAGCTTAAAACTGGTTTGGTATGAGAATTAGGTTAGAAAGTAAGTTTGATACTAAGTATGCGAACTGTGATAAATGTCAGTAAATTTGGGAAAATTTGGTTTATGGTCAACAAATGCAGCCGAAATTTTGTATTGAGTCCCTGTTTGGTGGTAGGTTTGTAATAAAGAGGTGGTTTTAGTAATGTGAACTACGAGTGCATGGAAAGTACTAAATAGTACTATATTGGTACAATTTGGTTTTGGGTGAACAGATAGTATTTGAAATATGATGTTCGGCTTTAGGGTAGCTGTTCACGTGTAGCCTGCCTGGATATGATGGTAGTGGTAGTGCTGGAAATGTCTACTAGTATAATAGAATAGTACTGAATGCTACTATATTTGGTAGGGGTGAAGATATAGAGATACAATTCGGAAATTTTATACTTAGATTACGTATTGTGTATGGCGGTGACTTTGGAAATGTGTACGAAAAGTACTTAGAGGTATTGGGTCAAGAAATATAGCTGGAATCCCGAAATTTGGTTTGGAGTCTTTGTTGGTGTCTGGTATACCTGGGATGTACCACCGGTGTTCGAAATGTACTAAATAGTAATTATATTAATATCGGGTGAAGGAATTTAAGATGAAATCCTGAAATTTTATATGGAAGCCACTGTTTGTGACTGTGGTTATGATATGAAGGTGCTTTCAGAACTGTTCCAAAATGACAGTTCATTATATTGTTTACAATCGTACAAAAGCATTTTGATGAGAATTTTTCAGATTTCTTTATATTTGGCTGAAAAGCCACAAGAGGCTATCGTTTGAGCACTCCAGCATTTAACTGTGAATAAATCTTTTGTGTCTCGTACCATCGCTCGTTACCGTAAAACTGGTAGCGTAGCCCGCCCTCAAGGAAGTGGCGGGAGAAATGATTCGAAAAGTAAAGAAACGACGTCGCAGTGGCCGAAAAATGGCTTGGGAACTGCACCTATCGCAATATTGCATTCGGCAAACATTGAAAAATGAGCTCGGGGTAAAGCCGCAACAGAAAGAAAATAGACTCAAAAGAGCTAAAGAGTTGTTTCGCTTGACCGAAAGTGGTGATCTGTCGAATTTGGTTTTCTCCGATGAGAAAACATTCGTTATCCGGCAGTTTGTAAACAAACAAAATGATCTTGTTTACTTGCCAAAGAGTTCAGCTGAAAATGTCCACTTTCGGTTGGCCACCAGAACTCATGGGCCGCCATAACAGCCGATGGTCGTCCTCTGCTCGTATTAATCGACCGTGGTATTAGAATAAATACCGAATGTTATCGCGAAAATATTCTGGAGGGTGCATTAATGCCTTGAGCACGCAAACATTTTGACCGCAGACCTTGGACATTCCAACAGGACTCAGCACCATCGCCCTAAGCGCGCGACCCAAGAATGGTTACAAAATTAGGTTCCTCGCTTCATTTCCATTGCACAATGGCCACCAAAATCTCCGGATACAAATCGGCTGGACTATTTTGTCTGGAGTATTTGGAAAACAATGTTGGCACTTAAAAATATTAAAGTGTCGATCACCTCATGGTGATGGTGTGGGCCACCATATCGTAATTATCGTATTAATCGACCCTGGCGGGAGAATAAATGCCGAAAATTATCGCGAAAATATTCTGAAGGGTGTATTAAAGGCTTGGGCATGCAAACATTTTGGCCGCAGACCATGGACACCCGCCCGTGATTGGCACCCGCCACCCAAGATTAGTTACAAAATTAGGTTCCTCGCTTCATTTCCAGCGCACAATGGCCACCAGAATCTCCGGATACCAATCGGCTGGACTATTGTGTCTGGAGTATTTTGGAAAACAAGGTTGGCACTAAAAAAATACCTAATTATCGATCACCTCAAGCAAGCGTTTTGCCGGTAATGGGCCAAAATACCGCAGAGCAATATGCGGGCAGTGTGTGAGATTCGAACAAATCTAAATTTATTCTAAAATTTTATGCTATTTTCGATATTTTTTGCTTTCATTCAATAAAATTTATAAAAAAATATAAAAATTATGGCGTTTGGCTTTATTACAATTTTTTATCTGAGCCTGAATACCTAAAATATTAGAATTTCTAGGTATCTAGATCCGAAATTTTGAAACATTGTTGGCGGTGCAAAAACAAATTTTGAAGAAGAACTACAGGGTTGCCCATATTCGACGGACCCATCTGGCAACGCCATAACTTTTGACAGAGATGTCACATCGCTTAATGACATACCGCGTTTGAAGCGTCAGTCCAAGCAGATTTTTACCATGAACCAATACACGCCACGTGCGCGCTCTGAAATAGTTGAAATTTACATTCAACAGAAGAAGTCAATTGTGAAAACTCAACGTGCTTTTAAAACATAAAAAAAATGTGAGAAGTGCGCCTTCTAAGAACACCATTAAGCGTTTATGCGAAAAATTTTCGACTGGTAAGGCTCTTTCTAATCCGAAGAGTCAATATAAAAGTCGACTAAGGCGATCGGCCGAGAATATCGCTGTCGTACGAGCCAGTGTTGAGAGGTCCCCAAGAACATCCCAAAAACGCCGTTCTCAGCAGTTGGGCACGGCTCGGTCCACTTTACAACGGATTATTCGAATTGATTTGCATTTGTTCCCGTACAAAATTCAATTGATGCAAAGAATGTTGCCTGCGGACAAGCCTCGTCGATTGGAATGGGCCCAAAAAAAAAAACATTGGTCCGTTGAATATGGGCAACCCTGTAAAGCATTTCCTATATCTTTTGATTTCGATGTGTAAATATTGGTGTTTGTTTGAACCAACTTGAGACCATTTCTGAAATTAAAATTACGTATATACAGTGGTTTCTATTCACCTGCATCAACATTAGCTGCGCATTAGCCTTTGCAGACCAAAAAACTT